TCGCTGGCAAACATCGCAAGTACGTACGTACTTGCGCACCCACTTGTACTGGTGGTTCCAGTAGAAGTCTCTCGTGAGAAGAGAGTACGTCTTCTCACGTCCCGGATGTCCTGCTATGGGGACATCGTGATACTCGTACATGATCCTGCTGCGCAGGTCAGGATCATTCGCCACTACAATGCGTTCCGAATTGTCGTCTACAGCGATGAAAAGCAGTAGACCGTCGTGCACACGATACCGGTGTGCACTTACTCGTAGACGAGGGGCCAACTTCCGACGTGCTTTGTCAAAAGAAGCTGAGAGGAATTCGATCAGCTGCTTCGCGTCTGCGCCATACACACACGCGGCATTCACCTCGTCCAACAAAAACGGCGATGGTGTGTATGTCCGCGACGACGTTCAACCTTCCGGGTTTGTACTCGACCCGGAAGTTGTACTCCGCGAAGAAGGACAACCATCTCGCCATTCGCTGCGAGATATGCGGAGACTTCACAGCCGTCCGCAACGACGCGTGGTCCGTATAGACTACGAACGGCGTGTTGCTGAGTAAATACACTTGGAACTTCGCGACTGCATACTTCATGACAAGGGGTCCTTGTCATGTACCGGATAGTTTCGCTCTTCTGGCGTCAGCTAACGCGACTGGTAGTAGACGACTCGATCACGACCCTCGCTGACACGCAGCAGTCCATACCCTCGCATCTTCCTTCTTCAGAAGCTGCGACAGCGGGCGAATCTCGCCTGCGTAGTTGTCCACGTACTTGCACAAGTAGGTTGCAAGACCAAGAAACTGCCGCAGCTCCTTCATGTTGGATGGTGTAGGCCATTCACTGATCACTCAGACCTTCTCGGGGTCAGGGCGTATGCGATGTTTCCCAACGAGACACCCGAGCACGGGTATCTCGCTCGCACCGAAGATGCACTTCTTCAGGTTCGCATAGAGCTTGTGCTTGCGCATGAGCCCAAGCAGTTCCCGGAGATGCTCCTTGGGCATCTCGACGTCCGTCTTCTCGTTCACAGCCAGGCTGTGAACGAATACATCGTCGAAGTAGCTCGGTGCGAAGTCGCGCATCGAGCGCAATAGGTGCGTCACGCATCTATTGAAGGTCGTAGGGGCGTTCTTCAGTCCTTGCGGCATTACCAGCCACACCCAAAGGGCGTTCTTCAGTCCTTGCGGCATTACCAGCCACACCCAAAGCATACCGCTTGGAGTACTTACCGCCATGAGAGTGATATCGCTCTCACGCATAAGGATCTTATAGAACCCGTCTCTCAGATCAAGAGCACTGTAGATGGTGCTCTTGGACATCGCATCGATGATGACATCTTTTCGAGGTATTGGCGTCTGTGCCGGTATCGTCTCATCGTTCAACTTGTTGTACGTATGAACGATGCGTCATCCACCCTGTAGCTTCTTGGCACAGAACGTTGGTGCGCTGTGCGGGGACTTTGATCTCCGCACTTGTCCTGCCTTGCGACGCCTTTCGAAGAAGTCGTCGATTGCCTTCACTTGGTCCCCCGGCAGTGGCCACTGCCGCGTCACGCAATACTTCGTTCCCGGCACGAGATCAATCTCGTGCTGTATTTCCTTGTCCTGCGGAAGCTCCGCAGGGATCTCGTCCAGGAGCACGTCCCTGTGCTCCCGCATAATCTCGTAATAGGGACTCGACTTCAGTGAGTCCCAACTCTGCTCCTTGAAGCGTTCCTTCTTGGTTTTGGCACTGAGAGTATCCTCACTCCCAGTGGGGCTTCCAGCGAAGAGTAGCCTCAACTCTTCTGCTTCGCTTGCCATTCTTTCGCGGTCTAAAAGAATGCATAGCTGTTCGATGCGTCCATCAAAACAGGTCCTTCGCGAAGCGCTTCCAGCTCATGACTGGAAGCGAAGTCAACTCCGACATATCAGTCGGAGGGTTCTCCAACTCCATCTTCTTGTACTGATACCCAGTACAGGCCCGCGTCAAGACATTCAACGTTTCGACGGCCACTTTTGGTACTTGTGTCTGCCCGGCAGACACACCATGAAGGGTCTCGGTCCCCGACTGAGACTTGCGCAGCGTTGTGTGCTTGCGCCGTCGCTTCTTCAAGTGAATCCCGGAATCACTTGCGTTTTGTCCAGGCCCGGCCATGAACGAATGTTCCTTGATACCGCCGGCGGGTCCTTGTACCCGCGGGCACGCGTCATCAATCCCGGCTTGATCGCGCCCTGCTCCGTGCAGCCCGGCTGCATGACAGCACGCTGCTGTACGTTTGCAACCATCCACACTGCTTGTCGCATCGACTCCCGGAGTCGATGCTTTGTCGTCACCTCTACGCGTTGCTGCGGAGCAGTGTGTCGCAACTCCCAGAGCTGACCCACTGTTGTCACCTCGACGCCTCACGGCAGAGAGCTTTCTCGATTCTGATATTGAAAGTCGACACGCTGTTGTCACCTCGACGCCTTATGGCGGAGAACTTTCTAGAAGTGTCTGGTCCCTGATCAGACACTCTTTTACTGTCAACGACTCCCGGAGTCGTTACATCTCGCGCGCTCCTCGCGATGCGACCGGAGACAGCGGCGCGAGCCACTGTCTCTGAAGTAGACCTAACGGTGCATCCGCTGCGCTAACAGGGCCATCGCTCACAGTTGCGCCGCGGCGTCCGAAGCGTACGACCGTACGCTTCTCCCAGGCGATTGTAGAACCATGCCGTGCAAGCCACGGCATGCCCAACACGATGTCGAACTTGCCGTCCAAGTCCAGGACGAGAAGTTCTTCTACAAACACCCGGTGTTTGGACGAGAAGCGTGCGCGAATCACGCGCTCCTCGGTCTTAACGATGGCACCCGTTGCCAATCGAACTTCCAACTGACTTCGAGGCACATGCTTCTCCTAGAAGTCCAACAACGGTAAACTTTGCTGTCGAGCAAAGTTGTTCGACGCACCCGAGTCCACCAGCATTTGAAGAGAGTCCGCTCTCTTCGTCATCGATTTCACTTTCAAGATGACAAGGTTTGGCATGTCATCTTGCACTTCACAGTGAGATTACCTCTCACTGGGAGCTGCAGTCCTCAACACCGCGTGTCCCTTGTAGACACGCGTGACTGCATTACCAGTAGGGCGCCCCGCGCCTACTGGGCCTTCGCGTTTTTTGTTCGACCGTGACGATACTGGGTATCGTCACGTCGACCTTGGCTTGAGTGTTCTGGTGCCGTACACTCACGTGCGTAGTGATCCATGTTTCTGTGCCGGAAGCATCGCACGTTGCTTCCCTTGTTCTTCTGCTGTCCGACAGCAGATGCATACGAAAGATCCATTGGTTCAGGACCTTTCGTGTTAGCAGCCGGCCGAGGCGGGCGTGGCACGTTCGTGTGCACTTTAGCTTGTAACTCCTCTTGCATTGCGAGAGTGATCGCAGCCTCGAGAGTACTCGGGTACTCTCGGAAGAGATAGGTCTTCACAGGCCCATCTCTCAACCCCTTCATGAACGTGACGACCTTTGTCGCCTCGTCCATCAGGTCGGTCACGACGTTCGAGCCCAAGTACCGAGCCGTTGGGCGTAAGCATGTACATCATGCTTACCTTGTTGCAGGTCGAGAAACTCCGCTCTCGACCGGAACCCGTTCTGCGGGGGCTCAAACGCGAGTTTGAGCTCCTCCTTAAAGGGCTCGTACGTGCTACAGCACGTAGGATCAGTGAATCGGCACCCGTAGGCCCAACCCCACGCGCGTCCGCCAAGACAGGACATGGCGAAGGAGACTTTCGCCTATGGGTCGATGAGACGTCGAGCCACTACGGCAGTGTCAAGTTCGACAAGCCAGCGGAGAAGGGTCTCGCCTTCTCTGCCCATGTAGTTACTGACACGTAACTTCAGGTATTCCTTCCGCGGTGTCTCCCCCGTAGACAACCGGCTTTGCGGAAACAACCTCGCGTTGCTCTCGCATGATGAACCCCAGAGCAACATCATGTTGCTCTCTCGGCGATAGCGTGCGCATCATTGTCGCTACGGCCGCCTCCTGTTGACGGTCGTTGGAGCGCCTCCCACTCTGGGTCCGCCAGGTGGGGGAGTCTTTACGTGCCACATGCGTAACAGACGTCCTCGGGCTTCCGACGGACGACCCGTCCATCGGAAGGTTTTCTTGCCTGTGTTCGTAACTCATACGAACAAGGTAGTCGGTCGTTGGACGGACTACAAAGTGCTACCAGGTGTAGGGAGCCTAGGGCTCCCTAGTTAGCTTACACGTGTGCGCACGTGTAGGAGAAAGTGTAGGTATTCCTAGATAGTATAGTGTACACACGATACGTGTGTACAGTAAGACTAGATAGGAACAAGATAGCGTAAATTGAAAACTGTTATTCTTTGTTAAAGTGTTTCCTTCCTAAACTGATTATCAAATATCTAAGGGACTGTCAGCGAGTGGCTGACAATGATTCGCATCGCTGATTGGTAGAGGTGTGGCGCACTCTACCAATACGATCCCTTCAAATGCAGTCTTGGTGTGTTCACACACCAGGATAGGAAACTTCAAAACTCTAACCGGTTAACGTTACGGTTAGAATGTCGTGTAACCCCGTTACAGAGTCGCAGGAGGAACTCTGTCGACGGAAGTGAGGCCGATCTGGATCCCAATCCAGATCTGGAAGAGAAACCTCAACCTCCACAAGTCTCCGACATGGATACCTCTGTGGATCTTGACTCGCATCAAGATTCGCTAACAAAACAAACAAAG